ATTTTTCTTCTTGTTTACGTAACTTGAAACATTGAGATTGCCGTAACGTAACTGTGTTATAACTAGATTTAACTTTTAGCCTTAAGCTACGGCGTGCGTATATGCCGTAACTCAACTTGCTATAACTTGTACCTCTTTTTTTAGGCTGATTGTTCGTATTTCATTGTAGAAAAAAACTTTCGTTAATAACATAAACTATAAATTATTTTTATTACATCATTGATATATTACATATATTTCATACGTATCTAATTAATTACACATATATGGTTGTAAATACGAATACTGCGATAGATTATCAATACGGTATTTTGAATTCATACGACACTTGGGATTCATACAGTAACCGTAACATGCTGTGTGTTGTACGGTTCATTGGGACAATTCCGCTTGCACCTTTAGAACAGACTAAATACTTATACTGTACATGTATTCAAGCGAAATCTTAATTTGGGATGCGTTGAAATTATAATAATAAAATTATCTGTAGAACAAAGTATTACGTATAAAAATATACACTCACAATGCTTAACTGGATCGGCTAATTTTTGACAGGTGTCTCAGAATTTATGAATAAAAATTAATAAACTGAAATTTTCATGTAACTAAAGTCTTTTAATTTTAATTAACTTATCAGGTACAAGAGTGACTTGTAGTTGTAATTGGTGATGCTGTTCACTATTTCACCAATCATCAATCGGCTGGTGAAATTGGTTGGTAAAATTGGTGAATCAGTGAAATGGTGAGATAAGTCATAAGGTCTTTTGTGTCAAAGTAAAAATGAATAGTATAGACGTATGAATGGAAATAAGAAAATTTGATAATCGTATAAATAAGTATAGAGAATGAATCAGTCAATTAATAAATGAAATTTTCAATTCTTCATTTTTTCATTTCATTATTCTCCCAACTATTACACCATTTTACTTGGTGAAATAGGTTAATTTCATTAGCATCTATAGTTGTAATAGTTATTTATTAATTCAGCTATCCATTTTAAATCCGGAAATTCTTGGATTTTATTGATAGATTACAAAACTTGCATTCCTTTCCTTTAGCTTTACATTAGATTGAACGTGAACTTGTTCATTTTTTAGAACTGCGCTGTAAATTAGTAAAATCCACTACGTAGATCCCGGCATGGTGAAGTCCTGTTTTTTATTACTGAAATGCCGTGAACGAAGTCACGGGGCAGTCATTCGTCACGAGATCAGTTTCCCGATCACTGACGTAACCTGAATGTAGTTTTAGTTGTGCGTGTGTAAATAGTTAGAGAAATGAAATAACTATATGGCATTTGGGTAAGTATGAGATCATAAGACATAAGGTATTTAAGGATACTTTTTTTCTTTGCTGCAAGCTCGACGTGAGTCTAGCTCTTCCCACCCACCCAGAAAGGAAGGTTTAGGCAGGTAAGTACATGGTAGCCCAGCTGAACAAGTCGGATACCAAATGGCAGTGAGATAGCCCGGATGAACAATCTGGATATCGCACAGTCGTGGTGGAAAAAATAGGTAATAAAGAAATGACTGTAAAAAGAGAATGTTAAAATAGGAACGATTCTAGAAAACAGCTGATGACCACGTGATGCAGCGAGGCGATATCCAATTCGTGTTTTTTGTAGTATTGTTTATTAGTTTGTCGATCGTCGGACCTATCGGATAAGTTCGGGATATTGATGCAGATCATTGGGAATTGTCGGATATGTCGAAAAATTATCGTCATTGCTATCATTGTGCTGTTATTTTAAAAGCATTACCTTTTTAATGATTTCTAAAATACATTCACGCCTTTTACTTACAAATATAATCCCTCAGTTTAGATCGGGTACTTTCCCCCTGTTCATGGTTCACAGGACCCCAGGTGATAGGATCATAACGATACACTAAACATAGAACAAACTAACAAGAGTAGATAGCACAACATAAGGTGAGAATCGATTCTAGGATACGAAACAGCGAACAATGAGAATTATTTATATAAATTTATTTATTACGTCCAAGAGCTGAATATTAAATTTTATAACCGAATAACAAATGATTAGCAGGCTCAGTTTGCTAGCTTTTACTTTTTCAACAGAGGACAATTAATGTATCTGATTTTTTGAATGAATGACACATTGTATTTTATAGATTATTTTTGGCTTAAGTGACATATATCTGTATGTTGTCTTTGCATTATAATAATAATACATTAAATACTGTACTATTACCAATATTTTTAATAAATTAAAAGTTTTATTGACTACATAATTCGTTGAATACGAGATGTTTCACATAACGAAAATATGTTTCTTTGATGTAAATGTTTCCAGCAGGCTATAACAATGTTATACAGATTACTTGTTTTTGAAATAAGAAATGTTTTGCTTGAACAAAATAAGTTTCAAAGCGAAAGTTTTGTTTAGCCCACAACACATTCATATAAGTATAAGATAAACCAAAAATATATTAGTTATTCAAATTTTCACTCTCAAATCTTTAAGTGAAGCATTCAATTTCCTGAAGTGATCGATAAAACGATTGCTACTTAGGATTAAGTTCTAAGTAAACATAATAATATGATCTTTTGACTTGTAACGGGTATACCTTTGATCAGTGGGTTAAATCAAATTTAGCCTTCAGACATTAGTAACTGTTCTGTGATCATTAATCCTTGAAAACACAGTGGAATTGGTCTGATTTACATGCTTGCTAGAGGCGCTAGAGGAAGAGGTGCAAGTTTACTCAAGATAATAATTTAATGCTCCAAGGTGATGTGGTTCAAACAGAATAGAAATTCTATTTACGCATATTCGGCAATAATGGTTTAAGTTCCATTCATACCACTTCATTATTTTCAAATTGTCTATTATGCTATAAATATCTTTTGCTGTCGATCTGCCTTTCGGGTTATTGTTCCAACACTTTTCCATGAGCTCTTTATGGCGTCTGTACCTTTTGTTTTTATTAAAAAAAAATACTGACATAAATCTATTAAAATACTTATGCTGTTATAAAGTAGGCATAAAGATACTAAAAACCAGGTTTTAAATTTTGATTATCGACCAAACCAGGTTTAACTTAGGTTGGAACTTATTATATAAAAACCTGGTTTATAGATTTTTTAAATTGGGAACCTAAAAATTTTTAGAACCTAAACAAAACCTAAACCAGTTTTTTTCATCTCTGTTATTGATACTGCACATTTTGTTGATATTGCGCATTTTGAACATTTTGATGATTATACTGAACATTTTGATGATGATATTGAACATTCTGTTAAGGATGATACTGCACATTTTGATTATCTTGCTCAACTAATTCATCTTAAGGTTGTGAAATGCCATACCTGAATTGGTAACCTTTTTCACATTTATAAAGTGAGATGTGAGGATCGGAGCATGAATCATGTAGTGTTTCCATTCAGAAGATTTCTTAACCCAAGGCTTTGCCATTCTTCTTCCATCATAAATAGATCAGGAAGGATATATTGAACAGGTAATTTTGGAAGAGTAACATGTCCGTATTTAAAACAATTTCTGTAGTATTTTTGGAGTAAGAAATGTAATCTTCATATAATCTAATGTCCTTTCTAACTTATGCAAATATTCTTGCAACTCAAATGCATTCCAATCATTTTGTTGCATAGTAATTGTTCTATTATTTAATTTAGTCAGCGTAGAGATTTATCACTGTGATATCATAATATGGGGTAAGATTGAGAAAGAGTAGGCGTGCTGTATTTTTTAAAATGTTTGAGCATATTTTACTTCTACGTAATATTAAGGTAAAAGTATTATATTACATATGTGTTCTACATACTAAAAAGCATTCTTTTAGAAGAAATTTGCCACAATTTAAGTTCAAAAGAATATATACCAAACAATTTTTAACATAGATTCCTTATGAAACTTTTGAAGAATATAAGCAATATATGAAAAAAAAATCATTAGTATTTTTTTACTTAAAATTATTTTCTTATGTATTTATTTAGTTTTCTATATTATATAAAAGAGTAATAGTAAGACCTTGTTCAAATGTTAAGATTATATAAAAATTTTTAAAATAATTAATAAATAGAATATATTTATAAAAATGATTTAGTAATTTTTGAAAATATTTGAGTTATTTTAATTGAATTCAAAAAATTGCAAATTCACAATATAGTAAAAATATTGAAAAAATTTTCTTATTTCTATAAAATTTAAATAATTATTTCAAAATTTTTTAAATTATTATTATCAAATTCTTTATTTCAACTTATAATATATATATTATTCATCTTTATAAACTTTTAATAATTTTTTGTTTAACATTTCATTATTGATTAGTTTATCTAAAATAAATATCATAATCTTCATAAGATTATAATATTTATTAGTTATAAATCTAACAATTGATTAAATTTTATATATATAAAATATTGGTTATACAATGATTAATATCATAAAATTTGTTTTATCAGAGCAAATAATTAGCTGACATTGCCATATAGCAGTACATTTCAACTAATTGTTTGCTCCAATAGAACAAAATTTATGATATTTATTATTGCATAATCTAATATCAATATTATTGTACAATTAAGATCATGATTTACAAGTTATGGTTAGCTAACTAAGTTTTAATTTGGGATTGTTGTGCTTATGTAATAATATACAAAAAATAACAAGAATAAAAAAATCTATAATTATAAGAATTTGCATAATAATTAAATATTTTAAGTTTCAGATATTTTGAAATATCTGCTAATCTTTTATTTATTTTATTTATTATTAAAGTTCTATATAGATCTTTCAAAAAAAATTACAAATAAATATGATTTGATAATTAAATAATTCTAAATCTAAATGATACATTTTATCAATTAATGTAGCTTTATAAATATTAATATTATTAAAATTAATAAATATATTAAATTATTTATTAATAATTAATAATATTATAAATTTCAAATATTTTGTAACAATTCAAAATATTATAAAAAAATTTAAAATGATTTGTGAGTTTTAATAATCTTTACAAATATTTAAAATATTTTAAAATCTTTTAAAACAATTTATATATATTCACAATATATTATAATTTTGTATTTTTGAAATATTTTTTAATATTTTGAATTATTTTAAAATGTCTTAATTAAATATAATTTTAAACTTAATTAAATTTTCAAAAAATATTTTGTATCAATTCAATGTAAATTGTATTTTCTTCATTTATATTATAATAATTTAGTATATTTTCATAATTTCTAAGTTTTAAATTATGTTTAATAAGTTTTAAATTAGCTAAATTTTCTTTATTAAATAAACAAAAATAATAAAGATAGTTGGAACTTGCTAATTTATATGTTAAACAAAATATTGCAACTTCTGACCAATTTATGATAATTATTAAAATTTTTGAAAAAAATTGTATATATTTGTTATTAATTAATAAATTAATTTCAACTTCTGAATATAATTAAATAGGTTCTAAAATTATTTTTAGACAATTATAAAAAGTTTGTCTAGTTTTTTGTTTAGTTATACCAGAGATTAATTTTATTATTGATAAGTAACCTAATAATTGCTTTGCATCTTGCTTATTTCTGTACCAAGTAGATATATTTTTAAGTGATAAATATTTTAAATGAAGTTGACTTTTACCCAATATATTATAATTAATAGCATTAGAATACAAAATAATTAACAAAAATTTTGAGTCTAAAAATAAAGTATTCTAAGTAGTTTTTCATCACATTTCATTATTTTGTTCTTTATAAATATTTTCTTTATTATTTTTTAAATAAAACTAAATTAATAAAAATAAAATAAATATTTTAATAAATAATACTAAAAATTATATTTATCTTAGTAGTTTTATATAATTCTTTATATTCAAGAATGAAATTTTCTGATATATCAAGAACTTCTAATATTTTTTTAATACAATTAATTAATAACACATAGTATAAGAAATACTTAGTATTATTATGATTTAATACTTCAGTTTTTATATATAACAAGTTAGATTTCATATTATTTATATATAACTTTTCTTGCTTAATATTAGTTAATAATAGAGATATAAAATGATTGGAATGTTTATTAAAAAATAAAATAATTGTATTTCTAGCTGCATTATTTAGCTTATATTTTTTGTAACCAAAAGCATTAAATCAGCATAAACTTTTATTAGAAAATTTATTATTTTTTTGACTAAAATCATCATCAGAATTATTTTAAATATTTTTAAAAATTTTTTTATTTAAAGAAATATTATTAGTGATATCATTATACTTATATAAAATATTTTCAAATTCATCAAGAATATTAGTATTAAAATCAACTTCAAAATTAATTAAAATATTAGTATTATTAGCTAACTCAAAAGATATATTTTCTAAATTTATATTTTCTAAATTATCAAGTATAATTTACTTATTAGAAAAATTAAAAAACTTGTATTATTTTTAGAGAATTTTAAAGTATTTTAAAAATTAATATTTTTAAATAAAATTTTTTTAGCAGAAAAACTATTATCAAATTATTTTTTTCAATATCAAAAAGATTAGTTTGAAATATTTCACTAATATTTGAAAAATTGTAAATATTATTAGAAGTTTGCTAAACAATACAATTATTATCATCAACTGTATGAATATACTTAGTTATATACTTACTCAACACATTTTTAGTACTAAAGATATAGGAACAAAAAGTATATTAAAAGCTTGACATTTTTAAGTTTATAAAAAATTAGAAAAAAGTTTTTAGATTTTGATTTTAGATATTAAAATTTTGCAAATATTTTTAAAAATATATAATATATTTTAAAAGGTTTTAATTTTTGTTAAAATTTTGAAATTACTTCTTATATATATAAAATAATTCTTTTTTATTAATATACTAAAAGTATTTAATTTATTTTTTAATTATTTTAATTTAATTTCATTTCTTTAACATTTTATTACTTTTTTAATTAATTTTAATTTAAATTTTATTTATTTTTATTATTTTAATTATTATTCAAATAAATTAATTATCTTTGTATATTATTAATATATATATATATATATATAAATATTAAAATTTATCCTATTGATATTAAATAAATATATTAAATAAGATTATATTAATATTTTTATTTTTAAAATTATGTAATAAATTAAAAAATATTATATTTTTAGATAATATGATTTAAGAAGAATAATAAAATTATAAATAAAAATTATTATTTAAATA